CTTCTTTATTTTTATTTTTCCTTTTACTTTTCTTTGCTCTTGTTGCTCACACTGGAGTGCAATGGCACAATCTCATTTCATTGCAACTTTTGCCTCCCCAATTCAAGCAATCCTCCTGCCACAGTGTCTCCAGTAGCTGGGATTACAGGTGTATGCCACCATGCCTGGCTATTTTTTTATTTTTTTATTTTTTTTGTTAGTAGAGATGAGGTTTCACCATGTTGGCTAGGCTGGTCTTGAACTCCTGACTTCAGGTGATCTGCCCACCTTGGCCTCCCAAAGTGCTGGGATTACAGGCATGAGCCACGGCACCTGGCTGCATTTTTTTATTAAACCACTCTCTGTATTAGGCTGAATAATGACTCCAAAGGTATCAGTTCCTATACTCTGGAGGCTGTGCTACCTTACATGGAAAAAGGGTCCTGCAAATGTGATTAATTTAAGGATGTAGTGATAAAGAGATTATTATGAATTATCTGGATGAGCCCTAAATTCAATCAGGAATGTCCTCATAGGAGAGAGGTAAAAAGAGATTTCACAGAAGAGAAGGCAACGTGACCACAAAGGCAAAGACTGCAGTGATTATGCAACAAGGCAAGGAACGACAATAGCCAACAAGAGATAGATGAGGAAAGGAGTGGATCCGCCCCTATAACCTCTGGAGGGAATGTGGCCCTGCTGCTACCTTGATTTGGGCCCAATGATACTGATTTTGGACTTCTAGCCTTCAGAACTGTAAGAGAATAAATTCCTGTTGTGTTAAGCCACCAAGTCTGTGACAATTTGTCACAGATGCCATAGGCAACAAATATGCTCTCTTGGAGCATTTACATTGAGTTTCAATCAGAATAAAAAGAAATTATCTTTCCCACCTACCACACTTATCTGACTCAAGCTCTTAGAGAACATGATGTGTATTAAGATCATATGTCTATGCTCTGAGCCTAGCATACTGCTTTGTACATAACAGGCGCTCAATAAACATTTGTTAAATTATGTTACTAAAATGCCAAGTATACAGAAAAGAAAAGAAAGCAGGCCTGACACTGCTATCCTTAGAAAGGCCTGTTATAACATTGCCCGTGGCTAGCATCTGAGAATCTGGATTTCAGGAGACTTCCCACCATTCCCAGCACTCATTAGCGTGCCTTACTGTCTAAACCGTTTGTGCAAACAATTTGGCTTATGCTGAATATCTGCTTTCCTTCTGGGGATCTCAACTTTTGGTACATGCCAGGGAGAAGTTGTCTATATGACCAACCTCCAATAAAATCCTTGGGCACCAAGTCTCTAATGAGCTACACCTTGGTGCACAACATTTCACACATGTCACAACTTGCTGAAGGAATTAAGAATGTTCTGTGTGACCTCACTGGGAAATAACTCCTAGAAGCTGCTATTGGTTTTATGGGACTTCACCCATGAGAGTTTCCCCTGGCTAATTTTGCATTGTGTCCTTTACTATAATAAATTGTAGCCATGGGTACCATATGTTGAGTCTTGTGAGTCCTCCTAGCAAATCATTTGAACCTGGTGGTAGTCTTGGGGACCCCCAACACATGAATTCAAAGCTTATCCATTACACATCTAATCACTTCAAACATCACAGTAAGCTTCAGAAAGAGATTGTATAATACAGAACCACCTATCTGAAACACAGGTTAAATGGCACAGGTATGTGAACCAATCTGTAGTCTGATTATCATCAAAAGGGCGAATGCAGATTGGGAACATTTTAAAGCTGAATGCTACTGTATTCTTTTTTGTTGTTGTTTTTGAGATGGAGTTTCACTCTGTGGTTGAGGTTGGAGTGCGGTGGCACGATCTCAGTTCACTGCAACCTCCACCTCCCAGGTTCAAGAGATTCTCCTGCCTCAGCCTCCCAAGTAACTGGGATTACAGATGCATGTCCTAGCCACGTCCAGCTAATTTTTGTATTTTTAGTAGAGATAGAGTTTCACTATGTTGGCCAGACTGGTCTCAAACTCCTGACCTCAGGTGAACCACCTGCCTTGGCCTCCCAAAGTGATGGGATTACAGGCATGAGCCATGGCATCCAGCTTGAATGCTATTGTATTCTAACATTACGTTTTTCAACATAAGTACATATAAAGTATCTTTAACTGAAGTCTGTACACAGTTTATTAAAACAATTCTTCTAAGGTTGGGTGCCGTGGCTCATGCCTGTAATCCTAGCATTTTGGGAGGCTGAGGCGGGCAGATCACGTGTGGTCAGGAGTTCAAGGCCAACCTGATCAACATGGAGAAACCCTGACTCAACATGGAGAAACCCTGTCTCTACTAACCGGTGGCAGGTGCCTGTAATCCCAGCTACTTGGGGGGGTTGAGGCAGGAGAATAGCCTGAACCTGGGAGAGGTTGCAATGAGCCAAGATTACACCATTGCACTCCAGCCTGGGTGACAAGAGTAAGACTCCATCTCAAAAAAAAGAAAAATTCAAAGGAAATAAAGATAATCACATAGCTCAGTTTGCAAATTTTTCCTAAATTTTTGAGTGGTATATATGAAATATTAAAAATGAAAACGTATGTCACTTAGTAAAGCCACCAATTTAGACCCTCACAATAATCTTAAGTATCATTATCTCAGTTTCACTGATAGAGACATTGAGGCTCAGAGATTTTTACCCAAGATTACACAGCTGGTGTCAGAACACTCTGGCTCTAAAGTTGTCAACAATTTGCTCTATGTACTTGGTCAAAATATTTCATTTATTATTTTCTGTTTTCTTCTTACATAGAAATCATATCTCTATTCCATATATCTTATTATAATAGCCACATAATAAAATCAACATGAGGTCAGGCACAGTGGCTCACACCTGTAATTTTAGCACTTTGGGAGGCCGAGGCAGTAGGATTGCTTGAGTCCAGGAGTTTGAGACCAGCCTGGGCAACATAGCAAGGCCTCATTTCTATTTCTTTAAAACCTAATAAAATAAAATCAACATGAAAGCATTTATAAAATGCTAAGGTAACACAACATACAAAGATACACAATGATGTATAATGAAGCCTCCTATATACATTGAAGGAGCAAGGGCCAGTGAAACTCTGGATGTTTTTCAGCAAATCGCAACATTTTTGTGTGTGTGTGGAGGCCAAATCCAAGTAAAAATACAGACAGTGCTCAATTCATCTCTGAGAGCAAGCAAAATGAACCATATTCCATCTTCTATCTTCTTTTCTTCTCACGTGTTTTTCCCTATTTCATGCCAATTTCATGCCATAATTCCTCAATATTCTATTATTCTTCATCTGTGGCTTTTCTATGTTCTTATATTCTCTTACCCACATGGGCTCTTTGCTCATCTCCCTAAATACCTGACTTATTTACTATCCTTTCATGACTTTCAATGACTTTGCAATTAAAAAAAGAAAGAAAGAAAGAAAGAAATCTGTTTATTTTCTCCATCTTCATTTTCAGGTTTCCTTCTTAATTATATAGATCTAACCACAGTTAAGGCCAGAGAATTTAAACAAAAATCACATGAACCTTTGTTTGCATGTGTAAGTTTAGAGATAAATCAAGATCTCATTTATTCTATTGCCCCTTTGTGAGAGCTAACATGCAATAGCTGCAAGTGGAACATGCTAACCACAGAGCTAATACAACTCAATGTGAATACTGGCAGTCAGCCAGGTAGTTATCTTACAGAATGAAATTAAAAGCAATTATAAAGGAAGAAGATTAAATTTCCACTTGCTTAGATCACACTTGTAGGCAACAGAAGTGAACAGAAACCTTTAATTTTTGACAAAATTAAGTATTATTATTGGCCTATAGAAATTTACATCTTAAAAAGACAAATACCAATGTAAACATACTGCAAGTCATGCTATAGAGTATTAAGAGATTTAAAAATAAATAACATGGTCAAAAAAAGAAAATCTTATGATAAAAATGGAGGGCCTGTCTTCCACAAAAACAATTCCTGGATTTTCACTTACCACTTCTTCCGAATCTCTAAGTTCTTCCTTTTCTCTATTTGTTTTCTGTTGACCCACAAGCTGCGGCTATCTGTAGCATAAATCATTTCCCTTACCAGTTAGCCTCAAACCACTGCCCACTCTCTGCATTTTCTTTCACCACTCAGCCCTGAGAAAGATTACTTTCTGTTCTCTGCCTCTGTTTTCTCAACAACCATCTCACTCCCATAAAAAGTAACTTCTGCCCCTCCACCCTGCTGAAATCACAAAGGATTATTAGGCCTGCCGGGACCTCTCCTCCATTCTCAATATCACTGTGGCCTTCACATTACTAACTTCTTTCTCCTTTCCTATGGCCTTTGCAACTGACTTCTCTAATTAGTCACATCTAGATTTCTTTAAAACTCTCAATCCTTCTGTCTCTGTTGCTCCACCTTCTTTTGTACAGTTCCAAATGAAACGTACTGCCCAGATTTTCCTCCTTGGTCCCTTTTTTTCATTTTACCACTTGAGGATCAGTTCCCATTCTGTGGAAGCTCTTTCCCCCATTCTTATAAAACTGATTCCTTCTCATCTGTCAGATCTCAGTTTAAATACAACTACTGTTTATAGGTCTTTGTTAGCATTTGTCTAAATTTGCTTTTCCCTATCCCACCAAACACAAACATACCATTAATCAGTCTATAGCACAGCGCTTCATTCCTTCACAGTACTTATCATAATTTATAATTACAAATATATATATACTTGCTTATTTCTTGCCCTTCTCAGTAAGTATAGAGACCACATCTGTTTTGTTCACTATTGTATACCTGGCACATTGAAGACACATACTAAATAATCAGCAAATAACCGAATACATGATCTTATTCATTCCTATTGTATCAATTCTTAGATATGAAAGACTTTTAAAACCTTACTACTCCACCCTTATTTCTACGATTTCAAATACACCTGTTGAACAAACTGCTTGACATTTTTTACATGTGACTCTCACCCTGCATCTAAAATTCATTACGCTGAAAATTCAACTCTTATACTACCATACTAGCATTATCTTTGCATAAAACTGTGTTAGTCTCTCATACATAGCATACATATCATCTGCTTTATTGTTATGTTCCTACTTGAGGTCATGAATTATCCCATGTTCATCGTTGCATTCCTCCTAGCACATAGCTCAGTATATGTATTAACCAAGTACTAAGAAAATGTTAAGGCACTGCTTCCAAGAATCCAAAGCCAGCTAAATATTAACTTACCTTCCAGCTCACGGCTCTGTCATTGCTATTTCACCAATACATTTGCCTGTAGTCATCTGAGGAATAAAGTGCTTAATCTGTTCTTCTGAGCCATAGTTTGCAATATAGGGCATGGCAATTGCTGAATGAACACCAAAACCGGGGCCTGAACAATTTGAATAAGCTCTTAGAAAGAAAAAAGAAGAAAAATTAAAGCATAAAATAGCAATTAAAAAATGACTATTGTAACAACAGTGTATTAAAGAGCCTATCAAACTGTTTGGTAGTAGCCTATCTCATCACAAACCTATGGCATTCCCGAGTATTTTCTTAGTATTTTATTTTTACTAATTTTAAAACTTCTGATTCCAACACAATAACAGGGCTCTACTAGAGTTCAATGAACACTTATTTAATTGAGAGATAAAATATTTTAAAATATAAATCACCTGCAATTATATTCTTATAACACAGTAGAATAATAACTGTATTCTTCTAATTATCTTTGCCATAAGAATGTATTCTAATAAGATGGAGTCATGGTCAAAACAAATAAACAAAAGAACAAAAATAAAAAATAAAAAAACAACAAATAGAATAGAAGAAAAAAAGAACAAAAAACAAAACAAAAGATGGTGTCATGCAGTAAATTTTGTACTTTGCTGTTTTCTTTTAAAATTATGGCACATATGCACACCAATACAAATTTTAAATTTAAAAATAAATTATATGATACAACAAAATTGTATTTTTACATAGATTTTAATCTTAAATAGCTGGAAAATACTACAAGTTATTTATTTACCATAATTTTCTTATCCATTCTCCCACTTCTGGACATTTAGATTGCTTCAAAATTTGGAGAATTATGACCTAACGTGAAAATGATTTCTGAACACAGTATCTATTTTTCCTATTAAATTATTTTAAGATAAATTCCCCAAAGTGGCATTCTAGGTAAAGGAGCAGGAACTTTTTTTTTTTTTTTTTT